TGGGTTAAAGTCACTGGTAGACAAGAAGGAAAAGGTATTACTGATATCATCGAGGAAATTGCTTCACTAGACAAACTGGAAGAAGACAATTGCTTTCTCCAAGTGACAAAGAAAAGAGAAACACTCTGAAAATTGACCTGGCACATAAACTTCAAATGGAAGCTATTTCTTGGAAGCAAAAATCCAAGAAGAAATGGCTCAAAGATGACGATCAGAACTCTAAATATTTTCACATGTTGGTTAATCATCGAAGAAAAATTAATTTTGTTGATGAACTCACTATTGACGGCTGCACTCTTAAGAGTAATGAAGAACTAAGAAACGGTGCAAGTAAGTATTTTCAAAAGCTTTATTCTGAATCTATATCTCCCCACCCTCGACTAGATGATCTTTTGTTCAGTGATATTAGTGATGCCAACAAAAACAATTTGAAATGGGTTTCACAAAGGCTAAAATTTTTGAATGCCCTTGAGATTGTGACAGAGATAAAGCCCCGTGACCAGATAGCTTCAATCTCAAATTTATCCAAACCTTATGGGAGATTGTTAAAAATGACATCTTGGATTTCTTCAATGACTTTCACAATCATGCTTCTTTTGTAAAATCTCTTAACTCTACTTTTCTTGTCATGATTCCTAAAAAAGTTAATCCGGTTAACAGCTCTGATTTCCAGTCAATCAACCTTATTGATTGCATTTACAAGTTACTATCTAAGGTGCTGCCTAAGAGATTATCTTATGTTCTACACAAAATAATTGGCGAGTTCCAAAATGCTTGTTTTTGGTAGACAAATCGCAGATGTCATCTTTATTGCCAATGAAACTGTTGATGAAGTCATCAAAAACAATAAATAAGGGGCCTCATGCAAACTTAACATGGAGAAAGTGATTGATCATGTCAATTGGGACTTCATTGACTACATGTTGGAGAGGTGCGGGTTTGGAACTAAGTGGAGAAGCTGGATCAGGACTTGCATTTCCTCTGTCAGATTTGTATCATTGTGAATGGGGACTCTTCTAATTTCTTCACTGCCATGAGAGGCCTAAGACAAGGAGACCCCCTCTCCCCACTTCTCTTCATTATTGTTATGGAGGTCTTAAATAAATTGCTTGAGAAAGCAAAAGACCTACAGCTTATATGGATCCCAATGAGAATCAGATGGAGATAATTCATCTATTTATTGCAGATGACACACTTATATTCTGTCAGCCCAATGTCCATTCCTTGATTTTTTTTAAATGCATTCTATTATGTTTTCAGGTTGTCTCTGGTCTAAAAATCAATCTTCACAAATCTGAATTGGTGGTATTAGGTAATTCTTCCAGAAAAAATCTTGTACAGGTCCTGGGTTGCAAACTCTCTCAATTACCCATCACTTATCTTGAAGTACCTTTGGGGCCAAACACAAGGACAGAAAATGTTGGGATCCGATCATTGATATGTTTCACAACCGTGTTGCAAATTGAAAGAGGAAATTTTTATCCAAGGGATGTAGGCTAACTCTCATCAAAAGCACCATTTTTCCAACCTCCCTATTAACTTCACTTTGATGCTTAAAATTCCCACCAGTGTTGCAAACAAATTGGAATTCATTCAGTGTAACTTCTTATGGGGTGATGGAAAAAAACAACAGCAGGAAATTTCATTTGGTAAATTGTAAGGAAATCAAGAAACCACTCAGAGAGTATTGAGTTTGAGATCCATTGATAAACTAAACAACGTCGGGAAATGGATATGAAGATTCTGGAATGAAGGTAACAGTCTATGGAAATCAATCATTTTATGTAAATGGTTTAATGGTGACTATCATGATCTTTCCAAAATCAATAATAGCACATTTGGTTTAAGCCTTTGGAAAATCATTTGAAATCTCAATAACCTCATCCTCCTTAATTCTAGATGGCGCATTGGAATGGGTAACAAAATCCGCTTTTGGTTTGATATTTGGCTCGATATGGCGTTACTCCAATCTAGATTTCCATTCATCTATGCAGTTGCTAGAGACAAAAACATGTTGGTCAGTGATGCTGTTGATCAGGATTCTCACGAGCTTTGGTGGGTGACTGTACGTAGGAACTTGCAAGACTGGGAGATTGAGAAGTATGAATTCTTACTCCAGACTTTCGCTACTGTTCATGTAACTGATTGGAATGCCAAACTAAAATGGCTTCTCACCAAGAATGGAAATTTTTTGGTCAGATCATTCTATAACTTCCTGGCCAGTAATCTCACTTACATCCAGAAAAATTTCCCAACTATGGATAACTTAATGAAGAAAGGAATCATATCTGTCAACAGATGTTACCTTTGCAAAAACAGCCTTGAAACTTGCTATCATCTTCTACTCAGTTGTTCTGTCTCTCATAAGCTTTGGTCCATTGTCCTCAGCCTTATGGGTCTATCTTGGGTCACGAATGGTTCAATCACTGCTGAGCGTCTTGCTTGGGAGGGCATTAGCAATATAAGGAAAACTCTCAAACTCATCCCACTCACTATTTTCTGGGTGCTCTGGAAAGAGAGAAACAATTGTGTATTTGAAGGAAAAGAAGTAGACTTTAATATCGTCAGTAACAGCTGGTATTCATTATTTTGATTCCACTGTTTTGGGGCACAATATTGACTGTTTAGATGACTTTGGGTTTGTTGTCGATAATTTAATTGACTTATAGATTTTTTGTGAATGAGTTGTGCCCCCTTGGCACCTTTACTTCAATACATAGCACACTTTTATTTTAAAAAAAATAGCATGTAGAGCTAAAAACAGAAATCACCATGATCAGCACATTTTAGACGCAGTTCAAACTCTGAATTAAAACAAAAACTACTTGTTCCATTGGTACAGCTTGAGGGAACCTGCATTTGCTAAGCACATTTGCAAACCAGTCCAATTCCCCAGACACACCTTGTGAAGGGGTTAGACGTGCTGGGGTTAGAGAATCCTCAGGTACCAGGTTTACCCACACCTTGAAGTCGAGGGTTTTATTTTAAATGCTAAGATCAAGTTTCCCGAAATTCACAGGGAAAAGAAAAAAAATTCACAGGCTCCTCAAGACCTAATTTAGCAACACAACTTGTTCCTTGAAAAACAAAAAAAAAAATCAGCAACAACGTCGCGTACTGAGAAACAATACAACTCTGTTGAATGCCTCGCATCTCCAGAGCGCACAACCAACAGTACAAGACCATTTCAATAACATCAAAGGAGAAGGTGTGTTAACCATAACCAGAATCCTTCCACGGGGGAAAAATATCGGATAGACATATGAAAGCAAATATGTAAGCTCGATCAGAATCAACCAACACCACCAAAATTTAATTTCAAATAGAGGGAAACAGCAATAACTTTAGTCAGAATCAACCAAAAACATCAAAAATAATCACCAAAGTGAGGAATAATACTATTTAAAAAGGGATAAGGCGAGAAAGAGAGAAATTACTTGCCTCCACTCGCCTTCTTCATAAGGAGAATAGTCAATATCCTCTTTCCGCACACAATTGAACATCAAAGCGGCAATCGACGCAAATATCCCTGCAACCAAACTCAAATACAAAATCGAAAACCCTAACGATCATGTAACAATATAAGCATATACTAATAAAGAAAAAGGAAAATAGCTGATAGAGGAAAGGAGAACCAGGTAGATAATGGATGAATGAAATTTTAACAGCGCTGCAAACAACGGCGTCAACCCAGAACCACCATCCGGCCCCGAAAACTGCGCCCGCCACACCCGGCCCGAAGATTGCCCACAACTCCGTTACATCCATTTTTATCTCGTTAGTGCTTGATTTGCGATATAATATCTACTCTTTCTCTCTTATTTTTTGAATAAATTGCAAAAGCATAAAAGAAGCCTGGATTTTGTAGAGTTCCAGCTAATGTTAACCGTGAAATATATGTATATATATATGCGTGTTCTCAAGTCTCTTCCTTCCAGCAGACGATGCCTTCCTTTTCACCCTTCTCTCTCCTAAGTACTGCGGATATCGCTACATTTTAAATATAATTTAAAACTAAATTTAGGCACCTTTTTTATTTTTCTCTGATGATAATTGATTTCGATCACTGACAACAGTTACAATACTGAATGGTCCGCAAATGCACAGTCCACAGTTAAATCCTCCTACTTCACACGTAGGGATGGGCAGGTCTGGGCATGGTGGGGTATGCTTAAATCTCCTTTCCTTCTTAAGTATATATTTGCCTCAAATTCAAAATTGGTAAAAAAAAATTTTATCGGTAGCTCGTCCTGCAACTAAAATTTTCACATGCTATCCAACTTATTATCCGTTTCTTTAATTTTACAAAAATTCATAAAATATTTAAATAATTTTAATTATAAATGTTAGTAAATATAAAATATAATTTAAAATAATATTTAAATATAATACTTAATAACAAATATAAATTAATATTCTAAATATATAACATTGAAATATTTATTATCCAAATTTTTAATTAATTTGAGTGTTAAAAATAAAATTAAAAATTTATTAATTATATGTATAGTGGGTGGGATGAGGCATGTAAATATCCACATATGCCTTGTGCCCATTTTGGATTTATAATTTTATATATGTAATATTCGGGTTCGAAGAACGATCTGAGATAAAGTTTTTATTTTTTTAATTATTAATTTAAAATAATTAATTAGTTTATTTTATTTTTATTTAAGTGAAATTTTGAGATAAAAATGAATTAGAAACAATATTGAAAATAATTTAAAAAAATGATGAAAATTTGAGTTTTTAAGATGTTTTTGAAAGAAATATTGAAAATAGAGGGTCAAAGTATAAATAAAGAAAGTTCAGCCATGTAGAACTGTTCAATCAACAGTCTCGACAAACCGGAGCGCGTCGCGTGGCAAGGCGCGCTGATGTTGGTGCCACGCAGGGCGCTTCAGTTAGGCGCGCTGACGTTGGTGCCACTTGGGAGGTCACGTTGGCTATCTGCGTGCCCCGCGATCGAACAACCCGTGATTGATCCCGCGCGCATAGACAGCCTAGATTCGTTTCTCCCTTAGACCCAATCGAACGGTCGAGATCAATCACGATGAACAGTTCATATTCATTTCCTCTTTAACCGCGATCAGACGGGCAAAATCGATCACGATGGACAGTCTAGATTAACCCGGGATAGTTATAAATATTTTGCATCACACAGGAACCTAAACCCTAGTCGTCAGCCCCCGCTGGATAAGAAGAATCAGACGCTGGAGAACGAGACTGACCGTCGACTACCGCCGAACCGGAGCCACCGTCGACTGCCAAAAAAGGGTAGCAAAGAAAGAACCTCAGCTGCGAAGGAGTACCGGTGGAGTCGTCACACCTGGAGGTCTCCCCTGTCAGTAGGTTCGTTTTTTTGTGATTTTCTGGCCAACCGAGACCCCTGATGTGTTTTTCTGCAGGGTTATAGCTAAAACCGACCAAAATCGATCAAAACCAACCAGGGTGAGGTGAACCACCGTTGTGGGCGGCGAAGCCGTCGCCGTGTCGAAATCCCAAAATTGATCAGAATGAGTTTTGGACACTGATTTTGGATTTTTTAAGATATTTTTAGGTATGTGACAAGTGTTTTGAATTTTAC